TTTTTTTTTTTTTTGGACAATTTTTAGCTTCTTAGTATCACCACTAGAGGGTGATCACAGAAAACACAAGAATTGTATTGTTATTGCTTATTAGTACCCATAACAGTGGCTGTACAACACAGGCTGAAATGAAAGACTATATTTTAAATTATGTCTTGATGTTTCCCCCAAATTGCAAATATTCAAATTGCCTTGCGAAGGAGACAGAATATGTTCCCTGCCCTTCAAATAGAAGATGATGATAGCACTTACCACATGCTAGGCCTTTGCTAAGCGTTTTATGTGCATTATCTCACTTAATGCTTTTCAGCACTAAGCTTTTTGAGGCAGGTGTCAATATCCTCATTTTATAGATGAAGAATATGAGCCTTACAGAGATGTATTTACTTATTCGGGATCACATAGCTGATTACTGAAATAGCTGGAACTTGAGCAAGGTCTGTGTGACTTTAGAATCGTAGCTCTTATATCACTTTATATTACTTTTTCTGTATTACGATTTATATATATATAAAGGCAAGAATGAAACACATCGGCAGTGAGTGAGTTAACTAAGAATGGTGTTTCAACACATTGTTCCCCATGTTACCTTATTGCTTAGGATTTTCTTTGACTGTTGTCTCACTGATTCTCAGCTTCTAGTTAGTTCTAAAATTCTATTTATTCTACCAATCTTTCCAACACATTCCATTCTTTCTATTCTCATTGTTGCTGACCTAATAAAGTACTCAGCCACATTTACCTAGACTATTACAGTATCTTTCTAATTGTTCTAATTTCAGTCTTATCCCTGATTTAATTTTCATACAATTACCAAATTATCGTAAAAGCATAAATCTAAAAATGGCTCTCCTCTCCTATTCCCAGACTTACATTTGTTTTCTCTTGTACATAGAGTAAAATGTATACACCTCCTCTTGGCATTCAGACCCATATCTGGTGTGTCCTGAGCCTTTCAACTTTATCTCACACAATTAAAATCCCTCTGTGCATCTTACCCTCCAGCTACATTACACTCCTCTCCTTTCCTGAAATATGCTGTCCTCTTTCTTCTTCCATTTTTTTGAGCATTTTCTTTCATCAGAATGCCCTGTCCCCCTTCTTCTTTATCTTAACATCTTTCCCCCAGAGCCTCCTATTATCTCATCATTGGAATTATTTTTCTGTTTGCTCTGTAGTTCCTTGTTTTGCATTCTTGTTTTATTGTACTCACTATACTTTGCTTAGTGCTGTCTGTTACTATGTACATTTGTATGTTTCTTTCTGTTAAAATTGTGTGCACTCATATTCATCTGTACATCCTCCACAATGCTCTGACTATAATAGACATTCAATAAATGTTAGTTTTAATTTGACAGTGAGGACTTTGTTAGATATCGCAAGATATTATATGATTAATTACAGAATGAATTGTGTAGAGAAACTGTTAGAAGTTCAAACAGCAATTAACTTCGGATTAGAATAGTTGAAAGATTTTATTGAGGGGATTTACATTACAATTATTAAGTCATAAAGGTTAATATAAACTGGAAATTGAAGTGTTTAGGAAACAAGTATCTTTTAAATATTATAAACAATTTCATTTTTATTGGGAGTAGCCATAGTTTATTCAATAATAATCCTATATAAGGAGGAGAAGATTTACTTGTATTTCTTCAACTCTTGCATAAATCTTGAGGATTCCCTTGAAAATTTATAGCAGCGACTCCTCCAACTAGATAATTGGTGTCAGGTAATATTTTTTAAAAGAAGGAAAAAATGCTTTTGCTCTTCATGAAAGTGGTGTTTTAGTTAAAGCTACATGACTTCTTTATTCCTACGTTCTTAAGACATTTTAGATAGTTGTGACTGTAGATTGCCAGAGA